AGCTATAAGTCCTGCCATGGAAACATAGTGAGGTATTTTTTTCTGTTTCTTTTTAAAGGGACACTGAACAAAAAGGTTTGCATGTTTAGAGACAACATTAGGTACCACATCAGTTCACAATAATAAGGAGTGTAGGTACTAGTCATGTAATAAACTCTTGACTATTGTCTGTAGTCTCCACATACTATGCACTCACTATGCAGTGGATAGAGAAGTATCTGTGCATTTGAAGATAACTGAAGCCCTGCTACCCCTTTGGATCAATGTTACTATGAAAACAGAAGCCTGGTAGGCATTTTTTCCAATTTTCTCTYCCTCTGTGACCAAACCTTAACACTAAAACCAAATTCATCTGTATTTCCTGCTTTTTTTTGGGGTAAAGAGGGCTGGGAAAAGATGTTCATTGTTTTATGTCAACAGGTCAGTGCTGGCAGGTCCAGGCTACTGCTGTTGGCTTTGTGGCRAAGTCCTCCACTGTATCACGCTGGAGCTTCATTCCTGGCACAAAAGAGATGTTTGAAAGAACGTCTCGCTGGGTTAGCAAATAACAGAAATTTTTATAGTAATATGTCCCAAATGCTGCTTGTATAGAAATAGCCACTTTTGTAAGAAAAGCAAAAAAATCACAAAAAAAGTCACACCCCATACCCCCCATTTTTTGTCATTATGTAGGATTTAATTTAAACTACCTCTCAGTGTGACATTCAAACATTAGTAAGTTTAATAAGGCTTTCTCACTGCTATGTAAAAGTTATAATGAATGCCAAAATTGAAAAAGTTTATCACCAAAAAGGAAAATAGTTGTCTTTTTTTTTAATATATATTTGAAAGTATCCAACTGTTTCAAGTTAATGTAAATCCTTCTAATTTTTTTTAAATTCTGTAGTTTCAACCTTGCAAACTGTAGCTGCTGGACAGGAAATAAATCATAACCACAAGCTTTCATAATTATGGTCAGCTGGGTAAAACCAATTTTGTATGCACCTTTGTCATTTGGATACAGATGGTTTCAGTCACCAAATGCATCATACATTTGGTCATGGTTTTTTCCTTCAGTACTCGAGATGTGAACTTGATGAATGGTGTTCTGTAATAGATGCGTGCCACAAATTACATGGTCTTGTCTCTTTTTTGACTTTCAATGATCAGTTTATTATTGCAGATGTGAATATTGTTCATACAGCTTAATTTCTGTATAATTGTATAAAATATAAATGGAAAAAATATAAGTTTTTACTCGGTATGTAGAAGTAATGTATTATAAAAGACTTACGTTAGAGTTTTACTTACAGAGTACTGTACTTCTAAACTGGATCATACCATCTTGGTAGGTGTAGATAGATTTTTTTGCATGAGTCTGTTCTGGCTTTATTTCTTTTGAACTGAAGTTTTATTCTCTTAAGTTCTGTTTTCAGTGTTTGTGTTTACTACTTGTGATCATGTAGTTGTGCCTTACATTGTGAAAGAATTTAGTCTAGTGTGCGCTGTAATTCTTAAACTCTGCATCTGGAAGGTGGCTGTGGATTTCAATGAGGTGACACCATGCATCAATGGTTTCTGTATAAACTATGATGAATTGTTGCTGAAATGTCATTTTTGTTTTCTAATCTGTTAAAGGAATGATTAATAATAATAAAAAAAAAATTACACCTTTCTAATAGACCGGGTTATATCATTCAAAACTACCTTGCCCTGCTTCAGACAGCAAAGCTGCTTTGAAGCAATGGATATATAGTTTTACAAAGSAGCTGTAGGGAAGCCACACATCTAAGGACAAACTAAATGTTCCAGTTTCTTAGAGTTGTTGGGAGCTGCACCAAAGGCTTTCACATTCCTGAAGACACAGTAATAATGACTGTTTTCAAATCTGTTTTTTCCACAGGTTAAATTCAGAGTAGTCTTTCCATTCCTAATAGCTGTGCAAGGCTGCTGATTATCCCACATTGGATGAAAGTCCTGTCACTGCTGCGTTCAGACATCCCATTCAACGCAGTTGGACAATTGGTCCAACTATTGTCCATAACTGGAAGACTCAAAAGTAGCACTTGTTTTATTTTTTAGATCAATGAAGCTCTCACTTGTGGAATGGAAAGCTCTTTCAGGGTGGAAGTACGTTGGCAGAGAGAAGCCAGATGATTAATGTGAGAGATCAGTTCTGTGACAGAGCCACTACTGAATTGTGGGGGCACTGACAAAAACCCATGCTTGGCTATTGAAGCAGGGGCTCCATGTAGATAAGGAGAAAGGTGGAGAGAAGAGGTCTTCTCTGAAAGGCAGTTTGAATTGGGAAGTTGATTTCTATCTTGACTGCTTCTTGAGGTGTCTTTCTCTTGATACCACAGAGGAGCCTATTGCACTTCTGTCTCCATTAAGACAAGCCTGGGTGTAAATACTTCCTTCCCCCGTGCATTCCTCCTAGGAGATATGCTGGTCTCCAGGAATGRCTGCTTGTCTGCTAAAGTGAGCAGGCAAGGTTAAGGTTATTTTGGTAATAACTGTTACCCCCTCCCTTCTGCCAGCACACAAACCATAGAGCTTAGTCTGTCAGGTGTGACACCTCTGGGCTTGAAATACCTTTCTGTCCTGTCAGCACTGGTTTTAAGATTTGGTAGGGTTCTGRTGAGCCCTAGGTGTGATGTAGTGTGCAGCTGAGCATGGGTCTCGCAAGGTGGAGCACAGCTGTATTGGCTAAGTCATGGTGAAGAGTTTGCATCTTGTGTGGTGCCCTGGTGCAGATCTGCTGTCTGCACTTTGTTCTGCTCTCCTGTGTTACACATTCACCACTTGACATGGAGCCTGATGGCTGTTTCTTTCTCAGGAAGCTGTGACAAAAACTTGCCTATCATAGACATGGGGGGAGCAGGATTTTGTATATCACAGTGGCCTAGGCTGTATCTGGAGAGCACTGGACCAGGTAAGTGCATAGATATATACATACGTATTCATACATGCATACATATATACACAAGCTCAGCTTTAATGCAAAAAACAAATTGTGATTCTAAACGTTAGTAGGTRGAGATGTGTAGCTATCAGGAGCTATGGCTGCACAATTTTAATTTAAAGAAATTTATTAATACAGTTTGAATGATGGAATAAGACTTTTGAACTTCTCTGCTGAATGAGTTGTCCTAACCAACATAGGAGGTTTTTTCCTGTCATGCTTTCAAGGAAATGACAAGCTCTATTAAAGCTTCCCTGGATGTCACGAGTCTTCCCTAGGTGATGCAAAAGCCTTCCCTAGATGCAAAACAGCATCTAGGAGTGATATGTTTGTAGTATGGCTGATTCCCCTCCTCCAATTTATTCCTACATGGTGTGATCCAAGCTCCTCGCTTTTATCTAATCAAGTCAGAAATCTGTTAGCTTTGGARACCTAAGGTGTTCTGAAAAAAAAGAACTATGCTATCACCACAATAATCTTCCACTGGCACATTAAATTTCAGAGGATTCAACAAGGAAGCAGAAACCAGTGCTTTTCTTGGTTTCATGTCGTGTGGTGTAATTGGATTTAGAAACAGCAATCTGTGACATCCATACTTTCTGTAACAAGAAAAAAAATATTTGTAAACCTAGACAACCTAAAAAAGTTTCAGTAACTTAGATGCATAAATATCCAGAGCCTTTAGTTTTATTTAGCCTCTCTTCAGGCTTATGCTCATAATTGCTGAAGGAAACATGAATTATCCCACAACTGAGTCTCTCCCAGTTGTTCAGGTTGCTACATGCTGTTGGAATCTGTGTCTGGGGCCAAGGATTTCCCATGAATATTTCCCCTTTTGGTTGGAAGGAAGGATTTTAATGCTCTGCTTGTAATGAAATTTGTTGCAGGCTATTTCATCCCTTTTGCCTGAGATTTATTAATCAGCTTAATGGTGTCCCTGCCGTTTGGGTTCCTCGTTTCTCTGATTAAGACAGCTCCAGTCCTATCAGCATCACAAGTTCTGTCCCCCTCCAAGATCTGCCATGATCTGCCATGTGAATTGCARTTTGTGTTATGCTGACAGCATTCAGCTCTGTATTTGTTGTCATCCAAGCTGAGGACAGGGGGTAATGGAGAGATAATTTCAAATATGTAAGTTCCTTCTCTCTGCTAGTCCGGAGAGTCTGGTCACARAAGTTGAATTGTCTATAAATTGCTATGACTAGACATTGGACTAATCCTAAAATGATCAATCCTTTGGACTAAAACCTTTAAAGATCCCTTCCAACCCAAACTACTCTATAGTTCTATGACATTGAGAAGATGGTAGACCTTGTGTGAAGTCCATTTTAGAAGGGGAAGGTCTTATTTCAGTAACAGGAGAAAGCAATGACTTCTTAAGTAGATAGCTATTCCAAGTACCAGCCAGTGACTTGCAAAGAATTCACTCAGTGCTTCTTTCGAAAAAAGTCTACCACCATTTACTTCTAAGAACTAGTATTAGTGGTGGTCRAGTTTCTCTGCATTAGGTATTAGAGAGGGAAATTCAGCTTACATGAGAAAGCAAAATACTGTGAAGTGGCTGCCACACTTTCAGATGTTATGTACAGTGTTGTTACTAGAAATGTGATATGGTGTGAAAATGAGGGGTAAATTTATATAACGGYGGAATAAGTCATACCATCTGGTCTGAAATTGCAAGATGCATGTGAATAGATGAGCATGAGACATTTTTCTGGTGTGAGTACTACTGCATGTGAATTGGGTGTAGGGGAGTTGTTTTGGTGTTGACTTCTCTGGAGGAGCTGACCAGCTTTTGTGACACAAGAAATAACACTTTTCTTTTAGCAATCRGAATTGATAATGTTTTTCTACAAGAATATGACTTTCTATCAACCCTGATAGAAAACTGGAGCATGTTCAGCAGAAGAAATTCTGTAAAAAYATGTGAGCCAGAGCACTGGGGTGTTATTTTGTTTTGTTTCAGTTTTGGTCAAATGTCACAACTGTAGATTCTTATCACAGCATGACCACTTTTAGGCTGCCATCTTACTTTAGGAAAAGCATAGTTGTGTAATTAGAAAAAGAATTGTATCAAGAAGACTGCTATGCACTGCCGATACCTCTTCTCATGCTGTATTAGAAAAGCATTTCGCAGGCTGAAGACTGTAGAAAAATGTAAAGAAACGATATAAATGCCCCTCATACAATTATCATTCCAATTTTATGTCACATAGTTTTGATCRAATAAATGTAAGCATCTTTTCTGATTTTTAAAAGGGTAACTGCACCCTCATAAGATGAGTTATTTTTGTTGTGTTGGAAGCTTTCTTATTTCAAAACATTAATTCTACTTGCATTTGTTTTAATTGCTTCATCATTGTGCAGCTAAGATGTTTTTGAGTCTGCCTGAGGATCATGAAGAAATACTTCCCTTCAAAGCGCACTAAATCATAACTGAAGTTAGAGAAAAACAAATATCAAAAATTAAAAACAAAGGTCCTATTTTTATTTTATTTAAAAAGTCCGTATGAGGGCTGATACATGGGGAAGTGGTTACACTCAGGCTGGTGCTGCCTTTGGGTTCTCCCTGGGCATGTGCCTGAGCTGGTGCTGCTGGGATGCCCCTGGTTGACTGCGGGTGGCAAAATCATGCAGGGCCAGACATTGCCTCTGTTTCCTGTCAAACATTTGTTCCTGAAGATGACTCTGAGTGTCATGGAGGGGATTTCTCTGCAAGGGGACAATGTGACGCCAGTGTCACATGTCTGGAATAAAGTGGGGGGATTAAGTCTGCTATGAAGYGAGCCTAGGGGAAGAGGAGGGAAAAGCATCTTCAGGCAGACAAAACCCTGTGGCAGACAGTGTAGGTGCTTGCTTGGCTGGTAGTAGCAGGTCGGGGGGCACAGCAACCTGTTCCAGTGCTCTGGAGTCATGGGGCATTAGGTTTTTTTAGCTGGAGTTGATGTTGCTCTAAGCAAAGCAATAGTGAATGAGGTGTGGGATTGCCTGCCTGCGAATGCTGGTCCTAAGCAGGGTTTCTTCYGAACCCACACAGCCTGAGCAGAGCCCAGATCTTGAGCTGCCAGGGCAAGGCTGCATTTTTCTGAGTCTACTGCGGTTGACATATATTTTTCATGTATTTATCTAATTCATATAGTTTCCTTGGAAGCCTTGTACTATGTTCAGTATCTTGCTGCTGTGCAATGCTTCTTGTCCAAGTATTTCCAAGTATTCAAAATGTTTCTGTAAGACGAGGAGCCCTGTAATCCTAGTTTTATAGAAAAGGAAAGTGGAGCACAGTCTGGTTACATTATTGCAGCAAATCAGCAGCAAAAATGTGTAGCAGCAGAGAGGATGTGTCTAAACTCATGCCTTTGTGTCTGGTCAATAGGAAGAGGAACTTTACAGTTTCAAAAGTGAATTTTCTGGGCAATGCTTGGCATCAGTCAATAATATTTTCTAAAATTCTGTGGCAGGGAAGATTACCAATATTTGGTATAGTGACATATGAGGGAGTCTTGCCCTTTCAAATGTAGTGTAAAGCGTGCTGGGTTCCTTCTGTTACATTTACATGTCAAGTTACACCTCTTGTACAGGGTCACGATGTTTGCAGATAGTTCTGCTTTAGGRTACCTTTCTGATGTTTTGAACATTATAACATTTTATCTTTTATCTCCTCACTAATGCATAGAAGGCTTTGAACAAGAATTATCCTACATAATTATCAGCCTCGTGCCTGCTGATAGAAGGATATTTCTAGGATATTGCAACATATATATTTTTTTCTAATACTTGTATTGAGCTTTGTTTATTTTCGAAGTGATGTCAACCCTCAGCAAATTAATGGATGCAAAAGTACTTGCTAGATCAAAAATCAGGATTTCATTTTTGATTAATGTGATGGCTCACATGCCCTTTCTGAGAACAGGCTAACTAATCTTTTAGTGCCACCAGTAATAAAAGTCTCTTTGAGACTGCAGATACATTGGCAACATTCCCCAAGGTCACATTCCAGACAATATTAATTTTTTTTTTCTCCTGCAGAGGGACATTTTCTGTTGACACTGGAATGTTTGCTTGTTGTTTTGCASAGATTGGGGGGAATGTGAACTGCAAGCTCCCTATAGTCATTTTTCTCGCTGTTTTTATTGTACCCCAGCCCAAGGGGTCCTGTATTGGGATGGGGCTTCCAAGGTGTTGTGATTGTTGTAGTCACAAGTAAGTAACAGAGACTGCCATGGCTATAGCTGTAATAAAGCTGGCAAGAATATATGGGAGAGAAGTCAGGCAATGAGGCACAGGGTACAGGGAAGGGTCATAACCAGTGGACAGAGCCCGGGCTGGAATGCAGAAGGCAACTTWTTCTAGTCTCATGATTGCAACTGGATCATAGAGATAGGTTAGGAATCTCTATGGGAAATGCTGGCTTAGAAAAAAGAATTAAAAAATTATTTCCATCTCTGTTACGGTTTTTATGGCCAATCTTGTAGGTGCAAACTAGAGAGTGGCTGTACTGCCTTCTCCAGCACCCTGGAGCTGTTGACCTTGCATTCACCTTGAGCTTACACAGGATGTGGGGCTGCCCTCCCCTCCACCCTGCAGGCAAAAGGTGGCTGATACATTTGCTCCATTTCTGCTGGTTTGGTACAGGGACTTACTGGGCATGCAGACAATGCCTGCAGAATGTTTAAAAAAGGGTTATTATTCTATGTGTTCATCCCCTTACCTCATCTTTAGTAATCTTCCTTTTATTGCCTACATTTATATTCTCTCAGCATTCATGCTGAATGCTAAATAGTCTGGGTGAATGTATTTCAAAGTTATCATAAATTTTACAGGCTCTAGGTTTATTTTCCCTATCTATTGCTTTCTTACAGAGTGCTGTAGCTCCCTAAGCTTTTCCTCTCAGTCTTTAGGATTAAGCTGACCCAGAAGCCCAGTGATTTGTATTTCTTTTAATTCTCTTTGATATAGGAGGCTCCTGTGATCTTGGCAGTGTTAGACTGAATCAATGAATCATTAAAGCTGGAAAAGATTTCCAAAATCATTGAGTTCAGTCCTTTGACTGAAAACCACCATGCAAGCGAGACCACAACATTAAGTGCCACCTTCAGTCGTTACTTGAACACTTCCAGGGGTGCTGACTCCACCGCCTCCCTGGGCAGCCTGTTCCAATCCTTAACCACCTTTCTGTGAAAAAATTCTGATGTCCAAATTGAACTTCCCCTGGCGCAGCTTGAGGCCATTTTCTCTTGTCCTGTTGCTRGTTGTCTGGTGGTAGAGGCTGACCCCCACCTGGCTACAGCTTCCTTTCAGGCAGTTGTAGAGAGTGATGAGGTCACCCCTGAGCCCCCTTTTCTCCAGGCTAAACACCCTYAGCTCCCTCAGCTGCTCCTTTTAGGACTTACTCTTCAGACCTTTCCCTAGTTTCACTGCTCTTCTCTGGACACACTCCAGATTGTCAGTGTCCTTTTTGTGGTGAGGGGCCCAGAACTGGACACAGAATTTGAGGTGCGGCCTCACCTGTACCAAGTACAAGGGATTGATCTCTTCCCTATCATGCTGGCCACACCATTGCTGACACAGGCCGGGATGCCATTGGCCTTCTTGGCCACCTGGGCACAAGCTGGCTCATGTTCAGCTGCTGTCAACCATCAGCCCCAGGTCCTTTTCCTTTGGGCTGTTTTCCAGCCACTCTTCCCCAAGCCCATAGTGATGCCTGGGGTTGTTGTGACTGAAGTGCAGGACCCAGCACTTCACCTTACTGAATCTCATGCAGTTGGTCTCAGCCCATCTACGCAGCTTGCCTAGATCCCTCTGCAGAGCCTTTCTACCTTCCTGTGGATCAACAGTCCTGCCCAAATGAATGTCATCCATGAACTGACTAAGGGTTCCTTCACTCACCTCATCCAGGTCTTCTATAAAGGAGTTAAACAGGACCSGCCCCAGCACTGAGCCTGGGGAACATCGCTAGTGACCAGGTGCCAACTGGATGTGGCACCATCCACCACCAAGGTGAGGTGTGTGAGAGCCTGCTGCATCAGTGGCTCAGACCAAGGGCAGACCTGATGTTTCATACCTGCTCCCTGACATAAACTCTGACTTAGTGACTTCAGGAAAATTGTTTTGTCAGGGTAAGGGTGGTCACTCTGACAGTCCGTCATCCTCTACTTCTCACCCAGCTGCACAGCAGCAGTGATAAGGAGGCTATTCCCCAGTGATGCATTTGGATGTCTGAGAGCAAGGAAGCATTGATGTGTGGTGGGTGATTTCCGTCCTCTCGAGCTGGTGGAGATGTGAGTAGGAACAGGGAAAGGAGGTAAATCTCTCTAGCCTCCTTGATAATGGCTGCTGCATATGTGGGAGGACACCCAGGAGAACAGCGTAGGGTACAGCTGAACAAATGCTGCATAGCTAGTATGGAATTGAAAATGTTCTTGGGAAAGATGCCTGGCGTTTGATAGTATTAGGATAGTTAGGACAAGGTAATACTTGGCTTGTGACAAAGAAGTCGCTGGAATGTTGATGCCCCCTTTGGCTGACTGGATAATATGACAGTCAGTGGTGTGTGTGAGTCACTGCTGGCAGCAGGGGGCTGTGAAGTGTGGTGCCTCCCAGCAGGAGCAGAGCTGTGAAGCCAGGCAGTRCTCAGGCACTCCAGCCATCTGGGGCTGCTTGTGGGCAAACAGCATCTGGTCCCTATGCTACCACACACAGTGCATTGACATGGTGCTCATGAAGGCACATACCTGTAATGTGGATGGGTTTAACATTTTTCAGTATGAGTCTATCTAGTGGGATGGGCTGGTCTAGGACTGTGCAAAATCCACCCTCTCTTGTGAAGGACTGCAGCTCAGGAGTGAGAGAAGGACAAACAGGGATTACRCTGATGTCTGAGCCTCCATATTTCTGGGAATAGAAAATGAAGTTGGTTAGCAGGTTGTGTGCCATCTGTTGAGGAAGTATAAGCACCAAACAACTCTAAATTATGTGCTTTCTCTTATCTAAGATACAGACAGCTTATTTGCCTGAGGAATCTTAGAAAAACTGACTGGTACCTGGAGCTCTCCTGCAAGTCACACCTTGCATTAAAAAGCTACAATAGAACAATAGAAAGACAATAAAAGTCCACAAGCAGAAAACAGTTGAATGTGTTCCAAAAGTATTTTTCCTCCTCCATAGCAGGTCTTTTTCTCCATTCCTTGRAGGTAAGTTTCCCCCTCATGAATATGCAGAAGAGAGAATTCCGAGGGTTCCAGAGGAGTTGCAGCCCTTCACAGTGGATTCACCAATACATGTACATGGGACAACCCCTTCAAAGACATTTGCCTAAGGGTACCAGGTCCCTTGAATTTCTGCTTCCTTCACCACCTCTGTTGCTAAGGGATGGTGCTGCTGGTCTAAAATCTCTCACTGCATGCTTTCTCTATCCCCTTTCTCTCTAAAGCAGAGAACATGCTTCTTTAAAATAGACCCCAAGAGATCTATCAAAGGTCCATTTAGACTTAGTTTACATCAGTTTCATAAACTTAATTAGCTAGATGCACTCTTAAACTGATGCTTTAGGAATTTCAGATCATCCAGTGTCTTCTGCTGGTGTCTAAATACAGATATTTATCATCTGTGGAAACTCTATAGAATCATTAATCAAGAAACATTTTCTTAAGAGGATTCACTGTATCTCAATTTTAAACTAGGGTAAACCAAGGAAGTGTAGCCAATCTTCCATTATTTTTAGCATTTCCCTGTTTTTTTTTCCTTTTAGTTTTTTTTTATTTTTTCTTTTTTTTTCCAACAGTTTTGATATCTCTGGGATAAAATGTTCTCAGGTTGCCAGGACCATTAGAAAAAGTCTTACATTCCTGAAAAGTTTTCTGGGCTTTAGGAATCCAGCATGTCAGAACAACATAAGGAAGATATTAATGTCTTGTAATGTTAATTTTGCCTGTAATATTGTTCCTGTCGCATACTGAGCCTAGAAGCAGGCTTTTGAATCAGAGTTATGGTTTGCTGTTCACATAAGGAAGTATCAGCCATTCTTCATGCTGATTAGTCATCTTATACTTTCATCATTAGATCAGTTTTCCAAAGAACATGCAAAATCCATCGAAAGCTAAAAAATATAACAACTGCAACCATGTATATCTCTAGAAATTATTACCTTTTTGTTGCATTTAATTTTGGTAATTAGTAGGAAATCATCAAATAAGAAGAGGTAGACATCAAGGAGTCTTGTGCTTTCTGATAAGGAAAACAAAAGTATCAGTTTTATGGTGTGATTATTTTGCATCTATGAATCACTGCACCTTACAGAATTCTTTTCACAAAGAAGCCTCATCTCCTGTGTAGTTGACAGCTAGTCATCCTCCAGTCTGTATTCTCAAATGTACTAAATTGTCTCAGCCATTTCGGCTACTAAATTGTTCCTTGTAGCAGCTACCTCATTGTGATAAAACAACTACTTGCCTGCCAGGAAAAATGACAGTAAACAATTGTACAGACTACTCATGCTGTTGGCAGTTTGGCTGTATCTCAGTCTCTCTCTGCTAAGCTGTATTGTTGCTTTTTCTTTCCTGCACCTGCCCAAATGCTGTCATAGAGATTCATCCTGGACCTGCCATAACAATGTAGAATTCTGTTAAGCCATCTCTGGGCACCAGAACATTGAGGGACATTACCTGCTAGCATCAGCCTCCCTTCATGAAGGAGAAGTCTGTTTGCTGAACACAAAATGTTTTCACTGTTGTTTTCTTTTAAGCTTTGCTTCAAACACTTGACCCGAAAGAGAGAGAGAGGAGGGAATCATGCATTATGGATAATGAACTGGGAGGCAACCAGCAGTTAAACAAGATGAGAACACGTGTGTTCTTATCTGGGGATATATTTAGCCCCCACAGCTGATAACTGAGCGTGGCTGGATTTCTTCAGAAGTGCTATGGCTTAAATGTGTTTATGCAGCCCTGTCTGTGAACAGACATAATCCTTGAGATGAGATTCATGTGATGGTGTTACCATAGTGCTGCTTAAAGCCTGTTTGGGTAAGGGGGTAACTGCAGCAGAAATGCACACACCCAGGTATGCTGTGTAATTTTTTGTAGAGCTATTTAAGTATAAATGGGAAGTTCTTTGGCTCAGCTTGAGAAGTGATAGAGGCAAATAATTTCTGCTTTATTTTATGTAGTACTTACATCTGTGTCATTTCATTCTGTCCCCTACAGGCAAATGTGGTAGAGTCCTCCTGGATTGTATCATTACCCTCTCTTGGATGCTACTGACAGCAGCCTGTGCTGTCACCCAAGGCACTGCACATGTTCAGCTGCAGTGCTTGCAGAGCCATCCCCACTAACTAGAACACAGACAACCAGCCAACTTTAGACCACACTGTGAAGGTAATAGGAAACTAAACTCTCCTCTAGAAAAATATGCCCCTTAAAATCTGCTTACCTCTGGGACAAAGAACCTTTTGTCATGATCCCAGACTTGAGGCCAAATTATGACCTCTTGCAGCTGCCTGAAGTTCTGAAAATTGTCCAACCACTTGACTTTACCTTCCAGATCCCCTAAAATGTGTAAAACACCAGTTACTGCCAGAGCTGGCAAAAGTAGTCCTGTTTCTAGAAGATGCTAAATACTGATTTTCTGCAGTGAAAGCCAAAGTGCTTCACATGTGAGGCCCCAGATGCAATCTTGGCCTTATTGTAAAAAATACCTGAACTCCTCTTAGATCAGCAGGGACAGAATTCCAATTTATGAATTCTAAGATGCTTAAATTCACTGTTAAATGAAAATGTGTTTACTAATCTGTTTGTGGAACAGAGGAAATCATATGAAACTCAAACTGTAATCTGAAAAATGTCTTCAAAAAAAGTCCTGTCATCCTAAACTCTCTGATATAGTGAGAGAAAAATACTTTCATTATATACAGCCTGATAAAAAGACTGTTGAAATTAATGAGAATTAATTTTAGAGGAAGTGTTGCCAGAAGTGACTGAAGTATTTAACTGAGATGGGGGTTCCTCAAAATGTGAAAATGGGGATGGTGTCTTTGCTAGTTTAGGGCCWTTATGGGGAAAGCTTTAATGGACCTGCAACTTAAATTTCAAATTTTTGGGTAGAGTGATATTGCAGATAATGGTTTCAGATGCACATCTCCCCATCAGGAAGGGAGTGCTTGGACTGCAATTGTTCTTTATGCTTCTGATTCACTGATCAAAAAATGAAGGCAGAGCTTTGACAGGTGTCTGTGAAGAAAGAGGGGGTCACCCTTCTATCTTTGGTGTCCTTGATCCAGAGGTGTCCATTTTTCTGGAAGGAACTATTTCCTCTGCCAGTAATACTCTCCAGACATTCCATGGTCTTTTGGGGCCATACCTAAAACTTCTATCCTTCCAGAAGACATCCCCAGGCTAGCAACAAAACCACCTTACTTCGCTATGGGACATGTTCTGTGCAGAGAGGTGTGCTCCTTATGTGGGCATTAAGTTAGACTCCTCATAAGCCTTGGCAAGAGGAGGAAGAACCTGAGTCTCTCTTTTTGGTGGTGTTTCTGTCATTGGAGTATTTACTTAAAAAGAAGGAGCCCCAGATTTATGTATCTCTAGAATACATTCTCTCTCTCTGCCACATCTCCTGAGAAGCTGTTTGAGCCTTCAGCCTCCATCATGGGGAGAGGGATGGGAGCAGGGGTGAAGGTTACTCTCCAAGTGAGCCACCATGCTGGCTTGCTCACATGCAGGCCGTGGTGTGCTGCTCATGAGAATGAAGCACTCTCTAGCACTTCTCCATGTCAAGACTGCTGGGATAAGTGTTTTCCTGATGTACTGTCTTGTCTTTGATTTCAGTGTGGGCTGCAGGAAGCCTTTGGGGAACAAACTTCTCTGCTGATGAACTATATGGCCATAAGACACTGAGAGATGTATATAAGGCTTCCTGAACAAGACTGCATTGATAAATTAGTTACTTAAAACAAAATGCAGGGAAAAAATATCTGGACCAACCCCTTACTTTCCGCAATGGCCCGAGAAAAGCTGTAGCTGAGACAACTCTACATGGTAGGACCCTGTCATTAGTGAAAGGTCATGGACATAATATTCCCCTTGTGAGTGCAMATTTATCCTGTTAAGGATCAGCCCCCCAAAAAATCCTCCTTAGACATAAATCCAGCTCAAAGACTTCCTTGTCTGAGATCTTTCTGGATGTGTTCCAGTTTGAGATATGCTCTTGTTTGCCTGTCACTGCAGATGATTCTGAGAAAATACAAGTGACTCACTGATTTGGGAGTCCTGTGACGTTGCTCAGAGAGGCTTTGACAGCACAAGGGGCCCAAATCATTCCCTACCGAAGGAAGCTCATTATTGTAGAAAGGCACACACATCCTTGTTGCATTTCTGCAGAGACACTTGACCAATTCACACTTYAAAGGATATGCACAAAAAAAAGCCATGTAACTTTCTAACTTGTAACTACACACTTTTAACCTTTGTTACTTACTTAAAGACTTTTCCACCTTCTCTTTAAGTGACTGGATAAAACGTTTCTCTGTTTCATCGGTGCTTCTCTTCCAGATGTTGTTGAGGAGRAGGGGATACCACATCAGCCGATGCAGAGGAGCAACCAGCAGCTCTGGCGGATGCAACCTCTTGCACTGTTCATTTTGTTCACACCACTGCTGAAGACAAAGAAAACCTGCCTTAGGCTTCAGTTTGCTTCCTGGCTGGGAGGCAGCAAAGAGTTTTGTGCATCATTAGCTGACTGTAATGAGGCAGGGACTAATGAGAGATGAGTTTCTCACACAGTGAGAGAAAGGGCAGTATAAAGGCTCTTGTCATAGTTTCACCCAGCAAGTATCTAAACACAGTCACCCATTTACCCTTCTCTCCCTTCTATGGGATGGGCAAGAGAAATGGGATATAAAAAATAAAGATTGTAGTTTGAGATAAAGATAATTTAATATAACAGATACAGAAGGGAAAAAGCAACAGAATACACAAAACAAGTAGTGCACTGTGCTCACCACCCACTGACCAATGCCCGGCCAGTCCCAGTCCCTGTGCAGAGGCCAGCCCCGGCCAGATTTASCTCTAGTTTTTATACTGAGCGTGACACCATTTGGTATGGAGTATCCCTTAGGTCAGTGGGGTCACCTGTTCTGGCTGTGTCCTCCCCCCCCCCCCCAATTCCTTGTGTTCACCAGACTTCTCACTGGTGGTGATGAGAGACAGGAAGGTCCCTGACAGTGCAAACTGCCTAGCAACAAGTAAGCACCAGTGTGTTATCAAGATTGCTCTCATCTTAAATCCAAACCACAACACTGTGCCAGCTACCAGGAACAAAATGAACACTATCTCAGCCAAACCCAGGACAGCTCTCTACAGGGGAAATTGCATTGCCCCTCCAGTTTCACTTTCTGCATTGCTGCTTATCATTCTAGATGCTGTGGCTATGCTATCATATCAAATGGGGCTCTTATTTATCTGCTGTTTTAATTTTCTCACCAAAACATGATAAAATTAACCTGAGTTGGGTTTGAAAGCTACCTTATATTTTAGTGTTGCTGCTACTTGCCACTGGGAACATTTTCCTTAGGTGTGAATGTATAAAATCCTTGTCAGGGAGCAAGCAGTGTGAAACTCCGAGGCCCAAGCTGCAGAGTTTGCCTGCTACAAAGAGGTGTCCTTCCAGTTTTGGGCTGCCTATGAGAAAAGCCCACTACTTCARGTTTCTCTTTCTAAGTCTGTAATGTTGAAGATTAATCTTAAGCATTTTCAGGACATCTATCAGCTAAAAACCTCTTTCCTTTTATCTCCAAACCTGCTGGTTGGTCATTCAGCAGCTCACCAGGTGTGAGGTCTCTGACTGGGCAGCAGTGCCTTTGCTCATGTGTTTGAGTTCTGGCTAATTATCCCTAATTTGAAGACTTTACCCAATTTTCTTGTTTTGGCTAAAAAGGGAGATATTCACTATTAAGGCAAGGGGATTACAATAAGGGGAAAAAATTGAACTCAGTAACTGATTTAGGACAGGTGAAGTGATTGTGAGTGGTCATTCAATTAAGGCAGCTGCAGAGCACTTTCCAAAATTCACTTTGCTATGAAGGGTGAGGTGTCCTGTAAAAGGGCCCTCAAACTAAGGAAAACTGTTTTCTTTCTAAAGTAATGTGAAAGCTATTTTTGACTTAGGGGTTTTTAACTTTCAGGAGTTGAAAATGATCTCCCAGCAACTGGTCAAAAGCAGCAAAGAGCTGGAGCACATCACAGCTGAGCCTTGTGGTCTCCCTTCTCCTGGACAGCGCAGGGTGAGTAGCACATGAGCGCAGAGCATCTGGTCCCTGTGGGAGACATCGTTTTGCAGCAAGTGAAACCTCAGCTGGGGAGAGGGGGTCACCATCCTGTTTTACCTTGCTCTACTGCAGTGGCATAATAGACAGCAAACCTTTGTGCCAATCTGTTTGCAAAAGGGGACTTGTTATGTAATTATTTTTCCATGCCTACTGTTTAGCTGCAAGGATTGTGGTGTAGTTTATCTTCACAAATTCTTTTGAAAGTTCTCTGCTTATGAGGATTGGTCTCAAACTTGTGTTTACTTCAGAAAAAACTGCCAATTGAGCTCTCACGTTTAAAAGACCATGTATCTTTTGCTGGAGACATAAGAGAATGATTTGCCCTGGTGATGTTTGACCCTCTCTGATATACCATGTAGAGAGGAAGAGAAGATGGATTATTTGAACAAAGTTCCAAATGTGAGCATTGAAACTCATTAGAAGCTTTTGGTTTGTTGCTTCTTTTATTGGGCTGCTTTCTGATCTGAGTAACATTTCTCTTTTTCTACTCACCTTGTTTAACTCCTCTGGGTTTGCGATAAGTCTCCACAAATCCACATCCAAGAGAAATTCATTACTCTAGAGGTATTTTAGAATGTTCATAAATATCTTTAAAATAAAAAAAATCCATATTATTTACTGTTTGTGCCAATTCAAAATACCTTTTTTTCCCCCCTGAAAATAACATTTATACTGAAATTCTTATGAAAGGATCATTTGATTTAGGGCAGGCAGAAGATGGCATTGTGAGAAAAGTTTCCTGATCTGCCTGAAGGTTAAATACTGGGTTTTGTGTGCAGAGAGGGTATGAGTGATGTCTCTGGGGTTTTTCTGTGGTTACCATGGAGGCAGCTGTGCCCCTGCTGTGCCCTTGGGCAGAAGAGGGGCAAATGAGCCCCCTGCAGATCCCTGCGTGAAGGACTTAGTAACGTCAGAGTCACAGTTGCTGTGACCTTTCTAAATGCTTTCCTTCCTACCCCATGCATCTGCTGCTATCTAAATTGCTCAGAGTTACTATGACAAAAAAAAAAGGTATTCTTGGAATAAGGTAAGTAGAGGTCCTGTGGAAGTTTTTCATCTCTTTGGATTATTTTATTAACTGGTATTGAGTGAAAACTGCATGTGTATTTATTGGCTGTTTCAGATTTTATATTTTTTAAGCTGATTGAGCTGTACTGAATCTGACCTAAATCTGAAAAAGGCTTAAAATTTATAGGTTACTGAGTAGATATTTTTGGTTTTATGCATATAAAGCATTAATGAAAAAAATCTGTCACCCAGGTGCCAAGACTGAATAGCTAGTGAGAATGTTTGCTTAGCCTTGTGTAATTCTTTAGTTACCATGACMAGGTTGACCTGAGAGCTTAAAGGGGATTTATGGTGGTCTTAAAACTCCCTGTGGAGATTCATTAAAACCAGCAGAATATTTCTATACTTGGAAGTAAGCAGGTATCTTTAAAACTGGTTCCAAAATGCAATGGGCTCTTTAGCAAGAGAGTTTGGGAAGCTGGCATGAACTGAATAGTCCATCATTGATGGGTCATGCAAGGCTGACCAAGGCTTGTCTGTGGCTTCCTACAACAGACTCACAAGGAGCCTTCATGCCTGCTGTTATCATCATCCTTTCCAGTATTCACCACTTTTTAATCTTGTCAGATTTCTGAACAAAGTGTATAGAAGGCAGGATGCTCTTCTTCCTTGGACCATTAGCTGGTCCTGTCATCCCATTTCCTGTCCCTTCCTGTTCTGCCCCACTATGGAGTAATTCAGCCCACTCCTCTATTTGTTTCCTTTACTTTGCGGTAGCTCTTGTATTGTCCAGGCTAACTTTTCAGTAACTTGGAAAATGTTTCACAAATCTCTTTTTGTTATCTAATAAAAGAATCAGAAATTATCTGTGCTGAATAAGAGAAAAATGATAAGAAAATATTTATGGAAGCGATAAGAAAATATTTATGGAAGCATCCATCCTTTTAAATGAGTACATTAAATTTTGGTGTGTGGTTAGTGTAAAAAGTGCAGCTATTCTTGTACCAGTGTGTAATATTTCTGTCCATATTTCAAGCTCTTAAAATTCACTGTGTTGGAGGTAATATAGGGTTTTTGGATGAGGAGTTGTTTTTAGTATGCTTTTTTTTTCATGTAATATTAAAACTACAGCTGAAGTTTTCATGTTCCAGTCAGGATACTTTAACTACAGCACTATGTGAAGTTAAATGAGAAATATAATGTTGCATATTCTAAGTACAGAAATATTCATTTGGAGTAGTCCAGTACAGAAATAATCAATTGGATCATGGCTACAGTGCAGTGTTTGTGAGTGGAATAGTGGAATATCTGTGAAATTCTTGTAAGGATCTGCAGTCAGACGGTAGTTGCAAAGAAGTAATTTTCATCACTAGAAAGTGATGTTTAGAAGAAGAGAYGCCATCATAAAGGCAGGAAAGGGAACTGTGGAAATGGGATGAGCAGGCAAGATGAGAGGAAAAACCAGGTGCTTAAGGCATTCCCCCACACAGGCCCCCAATGAGAGGTTCAGGTGGCTTTGTGTTCATCACAGCAGAACATACAATGTTTCATTATTTTTGCAAAATCTGACATTACCGTCTTGAGAATCAACAAATGATCCAGAAAGTAAGTGCATTCACTTGTTCAAAATTCCCACACTGCTGCTTCTTTTTTAACTTCTAACTGGCTGTTGGCATCTTTCTCTTATAAATGAGTCTGTTGCTCATTTATAAATTCGTGCCAAGATTTACTCTATTGATTGAAGAAGAAAGAAAACCACCAATTTCATCAACTGCTTCAGACCTTATGAAAAGAATCTATGTCCTATTTCCTGTGTAAAAGCTCATCTGCCAGACTTAGTGATTTTTCTCCTGAAAGCTTAAAGATTCTTTTAAAATATACTAAAACCTGACATTTTCCTCTAAAATACTTATAAACAACGGAAATTGAAAATAACACAATATGATAGTCTATGTTCAAGTACGTTGTATCAAAAACTGGTGAGCAGCTTGCAAATGCTAAGGAATTTCATGTGTTGTGCTGCTGTTGGGTGGATGATAGCTTCTTATTTTCTGGATGATCAAATCAAGGTACCAAAGAACTAGGTCTGTATAGTCCCTTGGAAATTATTTTGTTTGGTCCTAAGGTGGCCACTRTTACATCATGGACTTGCTCCCAAGTTAGATATCCACATGTCAGGCACTGACCASAGCCCTCAGCATCTGTCCATGGAGAGCTGCAGGTAACAGCCTGCTGTGAGAAGCACAGGTTTGCTTTGGAGAGGGGATGGTTTTAGGTGGGGGCCAGAAGCCTTGTTTGTCTGTCAGACAGGCTTTGGTGGCTTTTCTGCAGCCAAAGCTTGGTGCTGGCACTGACCTCTCTGTGGTTGCCTCTGAACACAGCTCTAAGGCAGCAAAGGGGGTGCCTGTGTCCCTTTGACATCTCTTGGATGCTGGAGTTTCTTTCCCCAGACCTGTAGGTGCTGCTGAGAGGGGTGTCTTGGGGCCTTTTTCTGAAGGTGGTACCTCCCTGATCTAGCTCAGTCTGGAACTCTGATGATTTTAGGGCCCTTGCTAACCTACCATGACACTCAGTTTCCCTCTCGCCCCTCCATGTCAAATGACAAAAACATACCATATTCTTCTGCATTAATTAAACAGAAAGGTTTCATATCGAGATTAATGAACAGAAAAAATTTAGTTTATAAAGAACACAAAATTCCTCCTCCCCTACTTAAGTATGCTCAATACAGTATACTGAGTATTTTCATACCTTAAAGCAGAAAAATTCATATGCACAGCAGTCTATAATCTTAACAGTTGAAAGACAATTTTCCAGATCAGATGCTTGCTTCTGTTTGTCTTTACCCTGTTCAATGACAAAAAACACCCCTGATTAATAGTGTTTTAAAGACTGTGARGAAGTTTACTCAGCTCTGTCACCTTGCTCTAATCTGTAAGGAGTTTGTCCTTAAATTGATTATTCCTTTATATTTCCAGGCTCTTCTACGCAGAGACAAGGCAGTGATGGCAGACTTCTTTGTAGCTATGAGTGAGGTGTATAAATGCCTTAGGTTTGGACGTGTAAAATTTTATTTGTGTAATACACAYGTCTTTGACAGGGCAAATCATTGGATGGTAACAGGCAATGGGTACCCTTGGAAGACAGAACAAATGAAATGTTTTCCTTCCCTTAGTACTGTCAGAGATAGGGACAACAGATTCATAGTTGAAATCATCTTCCTGTCATAGGTATGCAAGTGTATGTGTTTATTTATTTGTATATTTTAAATTTTTTGAGTATTGAAAAAGCTCCCAACTGCAGAGTAGTGTGTGTAACATGAGCTTTCAGAAAGCTGAAAGAGCAGCAAGAGTTTGTGTGAGAGACCATGAAATAAAAACAATTACTTTTGTTTTGGCTTTGTTTTTTCAGGCTAGTTTAAATGTTATTTATGATCTCTAATTTAGTGTTGTGGGCACAGACTTATAAGGTGTTTGCCTAAATTTTATTTGTTTTCTGGAACAGTATATTCCCACTTCATGGATTTCTATTGTCAGTGCTTTTGGCACTGAACTCAAGCCAATTTTGAAATATGTGTTTGATTATAATATTTGAAACCTATAGTTTAGGTTCAGCTGTTAATTTTGAAAGATAGATTGAAATGGAGCAGAAACAGTAATGCAGATAATATAGATGCATATTTAACCAATATACCAGCAAATGAATCTTCATAAATTAAATTTTATGGCTCTTAACAGTCTCAGAAATCAGTTTTGTCTGAATATCAAATGCTTTTTATTGCAGATTTCAAGTATTTTGTTGAATTTTAAAATCCTCAGCTTTAGGAGGATTAGAATTAGCTCTTTCTAATGCATTAGCATTAGAATTAGCTCTTTCTAATGCTATAGTGCTGCTATCAAATGAGAGGGAGCTCTTGTACATACTAATCTAAGTACTTGCATTGGTGTCAAGAGCACAAACTATTCTTTGATAAAATGCAAAAAATACTGGGGAGGAACTGTTCTTAATTACATGTTTAGGGAGAACAAGGTAGCAAGACACTTGTGAATTATTTTTTTGAATGCTGAAGAGTAYACAAAGTGGAAATTCACATACCTTAGTAAGTGGAAGTTTTCATAAATGGAAAAGACAGGAAATGTGTTAGACAAGGAAATTCACTGAGTTGTGCTAGTGTATATGCTTTCACTAGTGAGTRTGAGTGTACCCATGAAGGCAGGAAAGGCCTAAGAAAGTGTCCTGAAAAGTTACTTTYATAGGTAAAGTATAGATCCCTTCCATGTGAGTAGGAGTTGGTCACATTCTCCAAAACCCTAAGGCACGCAGAAAATACAGGATATGCTAAGGTCAAAGGAATGATGCACCTGACTTGTCCACCATGCTGYCTCACCCTGGGGAACTGCCCTAGGCCTGGTGCCACCCCGAACACCCTGTGTGAGAGTCSCTGCATCACCACCCCACTGTGCCCTCCTGGTGCCGGGGTCACCTGTCCTCCCACCACCCACGGGATTGGGGCAGTGGCACTGTGCTTTCGTGTGCATCACACRCAAAGGCTGCACCGGAGCCACTCAGCCTTCACTGCACATTCATGTTCAAGGGAGGGCTGAGAGCCCTGAGCTCAGCTCACCTGCTGCCTGCCTTTCTCCAAGGGCAAGAGAGTAAAACTCTACTTTCACCCAGATTAGTYGTGGGAAAATGTAAGGTCCGTTCAAGGAAAAACAAAATGGTAGAATACTCATGACTCCTCTTTTGGCAAATGGCCACCTTGACTTTTTAGACTCTTTAGGGCAAAAGAAAAATTATCAGTAAAGACACAAATAGCTAAAAATCAAACTGTTATTTATATTATTTATACRTTTATTTTCAAGATGAAACTTGATAGACTACGCTCTACTTGGCTCATATTTAATACTTGAATTTAGGCAGTTTGTGCACCAGACTTAAAACCAATTAAGCTTATTGGGTTGCTCCCAGAGAGAATTATGGCTATCTGTGATGGGATCTAGGATGATGCTAAGTGCTCCTACTTACTGCAGGTGATCAGTATGTGATTGCCAATGCTTTACATGGGAAAATCATCACACCTCAACGCAGTTCTTGAAGATTATTGTTTTAAAGCAAGAATTAGTCTATGCCTTCCCATTATGAAAACTTGGAATTAGGCAGATGCTTGAAACTCCAATGAATTAGCAATTCTACAATCCCYAAGCTTCAGATCTGTCATGGGGCTGGCCAGTGAGGCAGACTACAATTTGTGGTCCTTGGTGAGGCACAGGGAAAAATGGGGATCTAGATTGAGGAATGCCCTGGTGAGTTGTGAGGAATGACTGTGTTCACCAAGAAATCTGAAAAGGTTTTCTTTATRTGGCAGCTATCTCCAACTGTGTGACTGGGATTCACAGTTAAAACTTTGTGTTTCTGGATTTTGAAGGTCTTGGCCACTCTGGGAATGGCTGGCTTATTTGCTGTCATGGAAGTGCTGRTTGTGACCTTGACTGACTTGCTTTTTGAGAAACTTTTGATTTCTGGCCACCAGGATCTTTGGTCTCTGGCAATCTCACCACACATTATACTATTTTCTACCATAGATATTCATGGAAGTTGCTTGCAGGTCTGCATTTCAGTTTTGGAAGGTCTTGTGAGCAACATCAAGCCTTGAATTTGGTCTGCTGCTCTTGTGATCAGAATGCTACTGGAAAAGGCAGCATTGGCCACTCTTCTCTCTGCTTGAATCTGTGGAGGAAGGCAATTGTAATTCAGCTCCCTGCAGATGGAGATCCTGGCCTGCACTCTGGTTGCCCAGAGCGTGTGGAGGAACAATGTGTTCTGTCCTACCTTCTCATCTACTTGCATTTTGCATTCAACAGTAGCATGCAGGGAAAATAAAACCCAGAAAAAAAAAGAAAATGGAAAAAAAGAAAAAAAGGATAAAGAAGTGGACTTTTAAAATTGGCAAAACAGTCACTTWGTTGTGGGGTAACAGGATCCCCAGGAGAGACTGTACCACCTCATATTCTCATTGAGCACATCCTCCCTCCCATTCCCACGTTCACACATGTTCCAGTCCTGGCTTCTGCTGGGCTCAGAGGACCAGCCCCACCCTGTGTCTCACCTGCAGTGAGCAGGAAGGATAAGGAGGGCAGGTAGTCCATGACACTGTGTGATGGGKACAGGGGACACCTCGAGTCCTGGCAGACTCACAACCAGGGAGCTGCGCCTGCCCTGGGCTGATCTGTGAGATACACACATCATCTCTGTCCGCTCAAAACTGCACAGGAAACTTCTGAAGGGCTCCTTGCTGATACAGGAGGAAATCAGCTAAAAAAACAAATCACAGCAGCTATGGCATAATGTGTAAAAAGAACAGAGAGTAGAGAATTTCAGTGATTGACAGCAAATATCAAATTATCTTTCCAACTCCACATTGTTGCTGAAATCAGTGTTCTTGTGGTCAAGGCTTGCCTCAGTTTATAAGTAATTAGAGCATTTAAATATTGAAAATTTCTTCTGAGGTTGGACAAAAAGTGAGTGGGGATTTTAGRATCTTTGGCACTGGAGTCCAAAGGACTGGAAGAGTTAAATACTGTTTTTAGCTGATGTGTGAATTGCCTTTATTTTTAGCCTTCCTATAACTCAGGTAATTTCAAAAAAAGACAGCATGCGAGTGAAACAGTTAAAATGTTGGGTTTAAAAAAAAWATATATATTTAACCTTTTGTGTAGTTTGTACTGTTTTCTTTCTAAATATTTTTGGGTTTTTTTCCCCTGCTATTTCAAATATTTTGAATGTAATGTGACTCAGTGGCCCTACTGATTGAAAACAAATGTCTCTTTCCAACTATTGTTCCTAATGGAGGGCATTGTCCAGGATCTGGATCCATCAAGAAAAGTGATACAGGCATTCTGTATCCAACAGTGTGTTTGTTCCAGAGACTGGTTGCATTCACATACAGAAACTGTTGGTGCACATTAAAAACCTTTATGTATTTTGCTGATAACTCACACTGATACCTGGTGAATTGTGTTGGTATGTGTACATACATAAAAATTCTATTTTTCAGTCACTTACTGAGCATGGTATTTTTGGTCAGCAAAGCATGATTGTTACTGAGATGTTTTGTTGGCCAGGCAGTTACCTTACTGTGAATATTTAGCCATTTACCACAGTTGATGTGAAACCTGGCAGGTATATTTTTCCTTTAAATGCATGAATAGTTACTTGACAACTTCTCAGCTGAAGATGAGCTCTGAGGAAGACATCTAGGATTTGATACATATAGCAGGACGTAGAGATTGTACCTCTTTCATGAGTTGACAGTGGCACTGCTTGCAATTGCCTTAGCTAAACAATTAAATGGTGTGGATGAAAGCTGCCCCAAACAACAGATAGCCCTGTAGGGTATCAGGAGGGCCAGGCCTGGGACTTTAGCTCTTGAAGCATGGATAGTTTTCAAGCCCTGATATATGTCTTGAGGAGGCTCCAATGGGCAATGTAGGAGTTCTTTGCAAGTTTTTCTGCTAATCCTATTTAATGGGGAACATTGAAACTGTTTATTTGCCTTTAGGATTTCCAGTGAGACTCTGTGTTTTCTCAAGAAATTGAACCCTTAGCATATGTTGTGAGAGCTCTAATGGATGGGGTCTGTTTCTCCTCTGTCTGCAGGCCCTTACCAGTGTAAGGGAGAGGAGTGCTCCTTGCAGGAGCACCTTCTTGAGATGTGCACTGAGTGCTACCCAAGACAAATTTCTGGTGTCAGTAACGATTGTATTAATTGTGTATTAATTGTATCACAATTAGTAATTCCATGACCCAATCTCTTGGGCAGCTGGATTATTATACAAGTCATATGCTGCAATATAGTAAAAAGATAGTTCTCAAAGTGTTATTACTGCACTAGGAAATTCAGATTTATTTCAGGTTGGTTTCACAGTAAAATTTTGCCAGTGTATTATTGATTTTAAATCATTTAGCCTACGATATATTGTTTTCACAATATATTTGATGCTGCAGGCTGGTGGCTTATGAAGACTAATAATGGGAGTAGAATTTCATTGTAACTGAGTTAAATGATGTTATTTACCCAGACCAAAAACACCTTGAACTTCAGGCACACATATGGCTAAAAAAGGTCTTCTCACACGTGCACAAGCCTGTGAAATGTGGGAGCATGGCAAGATCACTTGGGTGTCTGTGACTACATATCTTTGCAATCTGACAAAGCTGATTAATGGCTCGCATGCCTAAATTACATATTCATGCTTCAGAGATGAAAGTACAGGTGGTTGTGGTTTCCTGGCCTGATGCCTGTAGGCATATTAGATACATCAGATGCTTCTGTTGTTTTTTTTTCTGGATAAATTAAATTACTGAAATGCTTTATAATACAATTTACCAGGTTTTTAGTCTGTGCAATATTTTAGCATCTTCTCATGCCTTCATGTARCTTTGCTTTTTTCTTTGTAGCTTTGTAGCTTTGCCTTTTTCTTTAGCTTTTTGTTTGTTTTACTTAGGGGAGACAGAGGACTGCAGGGATGAGTGAAAGAAATGCTTGTACTTTAGGGACAAACACAAGCATCTGAGGAGATATTATTTGCAATAATTCCTCMTTAAAATCTACATATGTTTTGAAAAATGATAATGTCATAGATTTGCATGGAAAAATTATGGAAAATTATTAAAGACATTGAAGCAGGTATTGGTCTGGAAAAATAAATATCCTGTGTATATATTTAGTTCTAAGGCATGGAAAGTGTCTTCATATGCTCCTTATCTTGGCCCAACTAGCTATCCCCGGGAACAGACATCTATATAGATCACCTTACTTAAATAGCAGATATATTACTTAAAGGAATATCCACTAGGTGAGAATAAAAGCAGCAGCAGAGGTTACTAAGATAWATATTATAGGGGGGTCACAGTACTGAGATAGCTGCCTGGTGGTGGCACGGTTACCCAAGCTACTCAGGGAGGGTATTAGGATACCCTATTCAAAAACGTAACATGAAAAAATGACCTATTGTCAAAAGTAAAATATTTATATGATTGCACAAGGAATTAGGTTTGGTATAATGGATGCAATCCTGTGCCACGTGCTCCAGGATAACCCTGCTTGAGCAGGGAGGTTGCACCAGACAATCCACTGTGGTCCTTTTCAACCTTACCCATTCAGTGGTTCTGTGATGTTGTGACATTTTACAGGCATGTGAAACATTAAAAGAGAAATAGGAGTACTTCAAGATGGATGAGCCCAGATCTTTCGTTTCAAAGCATTGAATATGAGCTGTCTTGGCAGTTACTGTGAAGACTCTTCATTAGCTGATTTGTTGTAGGAAATAGTGAAATGCAGTTTCCCACACAGTCTCTGATAGTGCTGAATAGTGCAAGGAGAAAATGAGCTCAGAGTAAACTCAAGGTTTTCTTTTATCAACGTTTTCTTCTATGGCAGTGTTAGTTTAGCATCTCWCTTCTCCACCACATATACCTGTCTCTGTGCTGCCCCTCTTGCCCTTTATGTTTATTTATTTTGGATAGTTCTTTTTAATCAACATCAGTTCAGCAAGTTGCCCTGCTGACGGAGATGTGCTGGCATTCTTGACGGAGAAATGTGTGGGGGAAGGCTGCGTAACATGAGCATCRGTGCATTAAAGGAGTTTTTTAAAAAATGTAGCCTGGAGTGGGGAGAAGAGATGTTCATTAAAACTGAAGGACAGAGATATGATTTTACCCAGGAAAATATGTAAGTCAGTCTTGGAGAAGGGCTGCCAACTGTCTTAATGTGCTTCTAGATGGGGAGAATAATTTGACATTTCAACATTTTTTTGCTGGCTGTGATAAGGARGGATTAGCTGTTAAGGAGCTAGATTAATGATCTTAATAAAGGAGGAGCTGAATGCAGGCTAAACCCAGACCTTGGACCAAATTAAACTTGACAAAAAAGTATTAAAGCAGAAACTGGTAGGGTTTTTTCCATATTTTTGCACATTCTAATACTGATCAAGATAGAAATAATAGTACGTTATCCAAATCACCTTTTGACAATCTTTCCTGCTGGTGGCTATGGAAAAAAATCGCAGATTGTTTCCTTTGTGGTTTCTTGATTTTATAAGCTGTCTGGATAGAAGTCCAAACCCAGTATCCCAGCTGGCATATAGGGACTTCCCTCTGAAGCCACCTTAGGTGAGCAGCACCAAAAGAAGGTGTGTACACTGAACATTCGGTGTTCTCCTGTTTAACGATCTGTGCTCACAACCTTTAATTTCTCTCCTGAAGTTTGTTACGTCCTGCAAATCTTCACGCTGACTGTGAGATATGTTTATGTATTGCTGTTTTGAATTGGATCAGAGAAGGCTCTTCCCACAACAGGTACAGATCRCTTGTTTTCACATCCAGATGAAAAGATCTTTCCCTTTCTTCTCTCCATCTCCATTGTAAATTCAAAATGCTAAAGAGTGGTTTGGAAATTGCAACAATTCAGAACATCTAGGAGGTCTGTTCTACAGYGAACATATAATTTCAGATGCATGTACACATCTCTTGAACCTCATCTATGGAACTGGATTGTGTAAAGGCTGCTAGACTGTATTACTCTGCTCCAAACCACCYAGTCCCAAACATCCTCGAGGGGATCATGCAGTGAAGTGAGCGCTACTCCATCAAGGACAGAGGGGTGGTTATTAAGATACTATGTCCTGCTTTCTTGTTGTGTGGGGAGAAAATAAAACTTTCTTGCCCATCTGTAAACATTTGAACATCTTGAGGGAAGAAACATGTCTTAACCAAAATAATTCTTAATAGAACTTTTAGTTTCCGATAATTGTTTGTAAGACCTTGAYACAATTCACTGCATAGGTCTATGGTATGCAAAACTCTATCTTGTCTGCATGAACTTACAAAATCCATATATTCTGTGTATTTTTAGTTTGTTGTTTTAGTTTTAGGATTAACAATCTCCCATCCAGTAGCAGTCCTRAATCTGCTTTGCTTATGAATGAGAGCAATATTGAACTGTTCTGCTTGCTCCTTTGTTCCCTTTTCCCTTCCACAAACTTTTGAAGAATGTCACTTAAGGTTATGAGATGCTTCACAKTCTTCAAGCTGAAATTTGATGCTGCTAAGCCAAACAACCAGGCCTTTTGGTGGTTAGCTCCCAGTG